CTCCAGAGTATCTGGGACTACAAACACACACCACCACACCTGGCTAATTTTTGTATTGTATTTGTATTTAGTTTTTTTAGACAGAGTCTTGCTGTGTTACCCAGGCTGGGGTACAGTGGTGCAATCTCTGCTCACTGCAACCTGCATCTCCCAGTTTCAAGTGATTCTTGTGCCTCACCCTCCCGAGTAGCTGGGACTACAGGTGTGTGCCACCACACCTGGCTAATTTTTATATTTTTCGTAGAGACAGGGTTTCACCATGTTGGCCAGGCTGGCCTCGAACTCCTGACCTCAAGTGATCCATCCGCCTCGGCCTCCCAAAATGCTGTGATTGCAGGCATGAGCCACTGCTCCCAGCCTTCTTTATTTTATGTTACTTTATTTTTTGAGACAAGTTCTCACTCTGTTCCCCAGGCTAAAGTGCAGTGGAACAACCTTGCTCACTGCAGCCTTAACCTCCTGGGCTTAAGTGATCCTCCCATGTCAGCCTCAGGAGGAGCAGAACTACAGGCATTTGCCACCACACCTGGCTATTTTTTTTAGATATGGGAGTCTTACCATGTTACCCAAAGTGTCCTTGAACCCCTGGGCACAAGAAATCTGCCCACGTTGGCCTCCCAAAGTGCTAGGATTATAGTCATGAGCCACTGTATCTGACCTCTTCATATATACATACATATATATATTTATATATATATATTTTTTTTCTTTTTGGTTGGCGGGGTGGGGCAGGGAGTCATATAAAGCAACAGAAATAAGAGCTGAAAAATCAGGAGAAAACTTTAAAATTTGCATAGCACAGGAAATACCTCTTGGTTGGTGTGGGAATTTTTATTCATACATATATCATCTGCTGGCATCATATTCATCTACATGGGAAATGTGTCTGGATAAAAGGATCACACTTACCTTGTCTATTCAAGTCAGGAAGAGAAGAGGTGGAGTAAGAAAAAGGAGTATGTAGGGGAATAGTGTTCCCAAAGAAAAAACAAATAACTTGTGGTCCTGGCTTCTCCCAATTTGAAGTACTCTTAGGCAGACATAAGTGAGTTCAATCACTAAAGAACCCTTCATTCATATGCTTTGAATTTTTTTTTTTTTTTT